CAACACCTACGGCACCACAATTACCAAACCTAAATCATAATTTTCCATTATCGTTAGTACCGCGAAATCTTGGAAACATAGCATATCTTCAAGACCTAATTATCCACAAAGCCCAATTCAGCATATAGTAACACAACAATCCCAAAATGGCGACACATATGAACAAATAATTGAACAAACCCATACCACGAACTTTGTTCTCAGAACAACCAACTTTTTAGCCCACGATGAGCCGCCAAGTTGGATCCCTTCACCGCTCAGTTTCCTATCCAGCCAAACACCAAAACAATATCCCTATCACACCACTTTTTTCTTTTAACAATTTCTCACTAACCCTTCATTTCCTCACACCAAAAGAAAGTGATTTGCACTGTTCACACGACATCATGTTACGTACTAAACAAACTTATACTTATACTTTCTATAGATTTATACAAAATCGTTACACACTGCACACACCATCACGACAACCTCACCATAGATATCAATTCATTAACTCCAAATACATCTCACCATTCTTTCTTAACTCCACGTATTGTAATGAAGATACTAACTTCCAAGTCACCCTCCGAAATTATGATCTCATCACCCAGATGTATATATTCTGTCCCTTAACCAAGACCTTTAACGTAGAAGAATCCCGGCACCTAATCATCCCACATGAATTCCTACAGCCCATCGAAGTCCCGATCCTGGAATTCACACATAACACTTAATACAATCATAAATTTTTTAGCCGTATTCAAAATACACCGTATGAATTTGCACCTGGCACCGAAGAACTAAAGACCATCAGAGCACTTCAGTTGCTTTGGCCACGTCTTTAAACTAAAAACATCATTCGCATACTAGCAAAACTACTAACCTCATCCGAAGTTATTCTTAACGTTTTCCCCATGAATTCTTCCCCGACAATTAGGTAACGTGAAATGAATAATTTAAACTAATAAATTTGAAATAAAACTAATCTTTCTTCACCAAATGCTTTTTCTTTTTCTTTAGCCTTCACAGTACAATCACCTACAAAAAGAAAAATCAAATGAAAGACAGAAAATTTTTTCATAATTGATAAACCTTATTAACAAACCGCAATGATTAAAGCAGCAAAATTTTCCCCCAAACAGCAGTAAATTGATATATAAAATCTTTTCCCTTATGCAGTAGATTTAATTAAGATGAAAACAAATTAATAATTTCAACTCCAAAAAGTTGTAAAACTGAATTTTCAACTAATAATTTTATACAAATGCAATCAGTACTAACTTTTTAAAGACGCTTATCTATAGTTTACAACCCTTCACTCGCCAACAATCCTATCCATAATCGCACTGCTCGCCCACGACGAATTGTTTAAAATATTGAATTTAAGTTTTAACTTTCACTGATAACAACTCTAACCAGTAGTTTCAAGCTTTCCTTCAACCCGGTTGGAAAAGAATTATAAAATAACCCAAACTAACCAACGCATCTTACTAAACACCACAAACCACAACCTAACAGCATGACTAAAAGAAGAAAACCCACGGTACCCAAAACGGATTATGCCAGCTTAAGAACTGGATAAAATATTCTTTTAAAGACGATTCATAAGTCCGAAAAAGAACGAATAAAACACAAAAAAGTTGAAAGACAAACCAAACCAAACGATTTGGTTTTTGAAAAAAGGACACAACCAAAACAGCAAAAGAAAAAACCAGTAATTAAAAAAATAAAAGGTTAACACAGAACAGGACCCCACTAAAAAAGAGCATGAACTCATACCAGACTTCTGGCCTAACCCACCAGAACGACGCCGCTCGAAGTACATGCCTTCACCATGCACTACAAGCACTCCGTCAATTTTTGATAAGAGAGCTCCAGGGTGAGCAACTCTTAAAAATAACAGAACCAAACAAAAACGCTTTTGCGAAAAAACTAATAAAAAATCTGAACTTAAAACAATATTAACAATAACTTATATATGTAAATGATATAATGCAGTATATAGATTACACACAGGCCAAAAACGAGCATCAAGGAGCTTGATGACCCAGTCACACTCAAACTACAGAATGGCTAAACACAACCGATATGCTGCCTACAGTCACTACTCAAAGGATTTACAGTATGACTTGGATTCGCAGCAAAGAAAACCCATTGATTCAGAACAATGGCCATCTCGATGTTCAAGTATACGTACAGATCCGAGTCACTAGGCTCTCAGTCCAAACTCAAACTTCACGCCATTCCCAAACGAGATTGGAACACTGTTCTCTACAAAACAGAACCAATTATCATAACCAACCGATCAGAAGTCACGATCCGAGCTCCCCGAAACAATCGTGATAAATGGTCACACTCGTCGAAGAACAAGTTGATGTCAACGATTCCAGCTTCCTGGAACAGACGGAGAGGAAATCCTTCTTCCAGAACGGAAAAGAAAAGATGCTCGCGATAACCAAATGATCATCATCCATCCTCCATTAAAGTAGAATGTCAAAGAACAAAAACTCTGTAAACCCCGGATGGGTGGAACCAGATCTAAACTAGAATTTATTATTGTACAATGTTTTAATATTTTATCCCTATAAAATATTGAATACTAACCAATCATACTCCATCAAAATAACAACCCACTTATTTGTAAGTGCTGAAACTACTTGTAGTTTCAGCACCAGTGAGATTTGAATTTAACTTAGAATATAGTTGCCTTCTCCAAAGAGACCGATTGGTATAAACCAGTATACGCTAGATTAATTGAGACTAGGAGATATAAGAGTAAGATTGGTATTAGACTAAGAAGTTGCACGAATATATCCGGCCAAAAATAAGATAGCGTGACGAGCAGACGGTGTACCCTATCCGAAATTACTCTAGTAGGTTCATTGAACGTAAATTGGGAGGGATTTATTAGGAAGGAGACGGGAGGGGGGAACAAGAGTTTTTTGAAGAGAAGGATGTGTGGTTGGTGTGAAGGGGCAGATAACAAACCATGGCTCTTTTTCAGTTTCCCAACCCCTCGTAAAATTTCAAAATAAAGCTGTCCAAATACACGAAATATTGTTCGTGAAATTTTGTTCACGTGCTCACGCTGACACGTTTTAATGCATTTTATAACGTGAAAAATCATTTTGAATAAGTTGAAAATTCCAAAAAAACCAAAGGGGGAACTCGAAAAGAGCCCAAACAATGAAGGGGCTGATACTAGCTGGGAAACGTTTTAGTTTGGGTTCTAGTTTTGTAGAACTATGATTTGACAATAGTTTGATGCCTGCGGAAATTCTATGAAAAATAGTTGTGCAAAGTTATCATCCAAATCTTTTGTAGCTCTTTTCCAAATTCCCCTTCTAACTTTTTCTGCTGTTCAGTGTTTACAAGTTGATATAGAATAATTTTTCATGTTAAAAACTGCATCAAAACGTGTCAGCGTGAACAGTTTCACAAAGTTATACGAAATTTCTTGCATGCACAATGCCATGTGAACAATTTTTGAACAGCTGTTTTTTTCTAATTTTAAAAAGGAGATGGAAAACTGGAAAAAAGCCATTTTCATTATCTGCAAACAATTTTCGGCTTTTTTTCCAGTCCCCCTTTTGTTTTATTTCTTCTGAAATTCAATATACGAAAAAAAAAATTAAAATGACTTCTCATGTCTGAAACTGCATTAAGACGTGTCAGCGTGAACAGGAGGAAAAACTTTTACAAAATTTCTTTCATGCAAATTGAAATGTAAACAGTTTAAGAACAGCTTTAATTTATAAATTTGCGAGGGGATAGAAAGCTGGAAAAGAGCCCAATTTTCTAAAAAAAAAGATCTTTATAGATTTTTGTGACCGCTAAAAACTCGATTGGCTCTTCCCTCTCTCCCTCTCACTTTAAAATTTTTCCATCTTTTTAATCGTGTCACGTGTTAATATGGCTGAATACGTCGTGATTTTACTATGTAAAATATTATGAAAAATTTTGTGCACAATTGTTAATTTGCTCACCATGCAAAATTTAATTTAATTATGACATCATAAAAGTAGTTTTTCTAATTTGAATTTCAATTGAGGGGCTAGGGCGTGGAGAGCCAATCAATTTAATTGGGTTTTTGATCATTGATTTTTGATTTCTGAAATTGATTAAAAACCGCTAAAGTTCTATTTTCATTGTTAGATGGGTAAAGAAAGTCGATCATATGGTTTATGTTTTTTTGCCTATAAAATCAATCATTAAAATCAATCATTTCCATGAGAATCCAGTGTGGGTTATCACTGTTGTGTTTTTTCTTTTTTTTTATCTGGCGTTTTAGTTTGTGATATCTCTTGAACTTAGAACATAGAAACCATCCTACTACTGACGGTTTTTAAAGATTCATTTATGATACGCATTTTTACAGTGCTGAATAAAAAAATTCCAATGAAAAAACTCCAACGAAAAAGATATAAAGGCAGTTTGTTTTCTCATTTTAAACCCAAATAAAATTTCATGCTCAAACAATTAACAAAATTGCTCAAAATTAATGCTCAAAATTAACATTTTTAACGACATATTTCAATTTGTTGAAAAAATTAGGCCATGTTTTTTTCACAGCAAAAACTTTGGGTAAAAAATTTCTAGTCGTATACAAAAATTTGATGTTTTTATTCATAGATCTGATTGATCTATGAACTATTATCTCATACAGTTGTTACTGAATTGCCGAGTTTCTGTGAAATCTTTGAGGTTTCTTCCCTTCAACCAACGCGGTTTTTTGTGTTAGAATTTGTGGCTATTGCGTTTTTGGCCGAAACTTTACAAAACTCGAAAAAAAAACTTTTTATAGAAAAAATGCTTATCATATACCTTTTATATATTACAACATGATTGTCGTAGAGCTTTCGTAGAATCTTCTGCACGTATGGAATTGTACGAAATTGAATGATAGTCATTTTTTTATATATGAAAAATAAATGATATTAAAAATTTCTGGTCAACTCGGGCTCTCTCCCTTCTATCCTAGAGTAAATAATTGAAAACTCAAACTAGCTCATTCTTAGGCGCAGAAACGAGAGTCAGTAGTTGCGTTGGATGCAGACATTAAAGAAATTGCGAGCAAAATTACAGAGTTGAATGCCAAAATAAAAGTGTGCAAAGGTCAGTATACTCCAGCAGCGCAGTTGCAACCAGCAGCGCAGTTGCAATCAGCAGCGCAGTTGCAACCAGCAGCGGATTTAGGGGAGATGTCGGATAGGACTCCCCTCCCCTCAACGATAGAACCTCCTCCTCCCCCCCCCCCCCCCACAACCAAAGAAGGGGTGGGTACCCATTTCAACTGTTGTGAGAGAACCATTTTTAGCGGTCGGACCCTAAAACTTTTCTAAGGGAGCCTTTGGCGCCAATATTTACTAATTTTGAGTGGGTCTAAAATTTACTAAAACTTCTTTTAAAAAATGTCGATAAAATTTCGATTTTCTTTTAAAAAATCTCTCCCCCCTCGAAAAAATCCTAGATCCGCGCTTGGTTGCAACGGTCAAAATTTTCTTGTTGTATCTGTTCTTTAAAACCAGTATTTCTAATCGGAGATATGATTTTTGGAGTTTTTGTTTGGGATCATGTATATCTCTCTTTCTCATCACAGTTCTGCGACATCAGTTCTGCGTCTTTGCAGATCGTAATTAGATTTGTTAGACTAATGGTTCTCTACATACCCTAAGTTTACTTAATGATACAGACATAGTTTAAATATCTGGAACTAAATCGCCAATTTTGACCAGCAGCAGCTATTGCTATATTTCGCAAAGAAGCGCAGCAGAATTTTTTAAACAGATTCCGTCAAAATGGTATAAGAATTTCGTTTAATACAATTAGTTTTTTAGTACATTTACAATTTTACTTTTTTTACAATTATGGAACCAGATCTAAACTAGATTTTTTTATGGTCACTATTCTTAATTTTTATCCCTATAAAATATTGAATACTAACCAATCAAACTCCATCAAACTAACAACCCACTTATTTGTAAGTGCTGAAATTACTTGTAATTTCAGCACCCGAGAGATTTGAATTTAGCTTGGAACTTAGTTGATTTCTTCAAGAGACGGATCGTAACAAACCAGTATACTCTAGATCTATTGAGACTAGGAGATATAAGAGTAAAATTAAGATCGGTATTAGACTAAGAAGCTGCACGAATCTATCCGGACGAAAGTAAGATAGCGTGACGAGAGATGGTGTACCTTATCTGAAATTACTCTATTAGTTAACCATCTTGGTCATAACTCATATGGTGCAACCAAAAATCACCTTACAAGACCTTACAAACAACTTAGACTAGAACAAACCAAAATATTAGACTAAAATTAGACAAATATAACAAATTCAAAAACTGTTATATGACGAAAACTTTGAAGAAATGTCTAGACGACTCAATAGATCAAAGCCATTTTTCCGAACAATACGAGAATTACTCGGTATTGGAAGACGACATCGGACAAGAGAAAACATACGACTAGAACGAAATCTACCAATAGATTTCATGCTCGTACGGCAAAAGCTAAATCAAACTTTTTTATTTAGAATTTTACCAGCAGTAAATTTAAATTTTCATTTACTGATATAGAATTTTTGAAGCAAAGTTTTCAACCATCATTCAAGGCGCAAAACATATCTATTGTACAATAACGACTGATAAAAACATCCCTAGTCGTTCTCCCTAAAAAATCTGCGGTAAATTTAAAACATCTTGGAAAAAAAACTTCTTAAAACATAAAAATACAAAAATTAGTTACATCATTTACAAACATACAAAATAAAAAACAAATTGTTAGTTTAAATAAATCAATTCTTCATCCCAGCTGAAAACTACTAGCATCATCAAAAATAAAACTTATCTTTTTCTTTCACTTAAATTCTTACCTAAATTGTCGAGGCTTATCCTTGTTTCCACTCAAATTAATCTTCTAAAGCAACAGATCATCAAGGCCTTCCTTGGATCTTTAATTAAATTTCACTTAAAGTAAATTGAATTAAATTATTTCTATTTTTAATATGCTGATCATCAAGGCTGATCATCACTACCCAACCCTTGATCAAGACCCAGAACTAACAGAAACTTTTCAAAAAACTAACCAAAATTAAGATAAACAGTAAAGAACTTCGGTTACTCATCGTTCACTTGATCCCCCCTGTTAGCTGACCCAGGATAGTACTTAGATTTAGTTAGTCATAAAACGGTATCTAACGAACTACTTGCGTTCTAGTTATACCTGAACCTTGTGGATCGATTTACTATTCTCCAACCCTTGATCATAAATCACTACCCCTAAGTAAGATTAATTAAGTTAACCCTTAACTTAGACTAGCCACGAGAAAGTAAAAATCATTCTCACGAATCGATATACACTTTTTTCTCCAACCCTACAATACATGACCCAAATTAAGCTAACCACAAAAAATTGTGAGAACTAACAGTTTAAGACATTAGAAATCTCTAATCTCAATCATGCATCCATCATTCTAAACCTTATGGCATGAGACTTTTTAGGAAAAAAACAAACAATTATACTACACAATTGTATAATTAACGACGAAAGATACGACCTTGTAATCACACCAAATAGACAAACAAAAGGATACATAAGAACAAAACGACAAACACTTAGGAAGAAAATTATAAGCAAACAAACACAAATTATTCGAAAACGATTTTCCAAGCAAAGAAACGCTGTCTCCGAATCAGAAACCAGTGAAAAACAAGAAATTAAAAGACTCAATAAACAAAAATCACCAAATTAACAATCAAGGATAATTTTCTGACTCAGACACAACATCACATTCTTCAATAAAAGGAAAACGAAGATTAACAAAGTCATATACAAACAAACCAGTACGCCTATACAATTGGAATCAACAAATAAAGCACATTGAAAATTACACACTAACAGTCATAAAACACAAAAACGTTTCTAAATGAAGAAAATCAAGAAAACTCCATTCTCCCATTTTTCATAAACTCACTAGCTGAAGATAGCAGACAAGTACAATTTTGTCAAAATCTAATCGCAAATTTATTTGAAAAGGAGATAGCCCAGGTAAAAGAGAAGTCCCAGAAAAAAATCAAAAGACAACTCCTTGACCTTTATCTAAACGAAGTTTGTAACATTACACAACAATATAGAATCTATACCATAGAAATCAGTTCACCAAATGGTAGATATCCAATTCAAACAGATGACATAGAAGTTGAATTTTCAAAAGTATTCACAGAATACATAAAAAATATACAACATCAAAACTCACAAAGAGCAAATTCAATATTCACTAATGATGTATTTTCAATTAGCTATCTATCTATATTAGAAAGAACAGAATCTCAAGGAGATTCACCAGTCAAACATCTCGACATACAACGGTAAGACATAAAATTGCAACATTTTCGGAATTTTTGAACACAATCCGTAAAAATTTAACAAGTAATGATATCAAGCAACATGTTAAACACGATTTACAAAAAATTTTAGCATGGTTTATTATTGATTAATTTACACATAAAATTAAGCTAATTTTACATGTCAGAAAAAAATTAAGACCACAAGATATAAATGATGAAACTGTCTCAGCAGAACAATCATATTAGGTTTGGGACCGAGAATGGTCTCATGTTTTATTTGTTTATATACCAACAGATATATCAAGCCAAGCAATTAGCACACTTTCTATTCACAACAATCATGTTAAAATATATCCACTCACAGTTGACGCAACACTTTTAAACTATAATTCATTCTTTCCCGATAGAGCAGGAAACAATGGTTTAAACTCAACCTTTTTACAGCAAGAAAACCTAAATGAAACTAGAAATCTTACAGCAAGATATCCAAACCCCGTCAATTTTTGTAAGTGAAGAAAAAGTTGAAACAAAAACAACTACAGTAAAAGGAAGTATCTCACCTATTCACCCAAATCTTACAACTCCAAGATCAAAAAATCCAACATTACCACAGGTAACTTTACAATCTACAGTGAACCCTCAGTTGTTCCACAAATGGTTTATACACAAAAAAATACACAAATGGATTATCAAACATTTAGACCAGTGACAAAACCAACACAAAAACAAAAAACATTCTATAGAAGTAATTTTGCAGAACATAAATACAACTACGTAAATAGACCACAAACAAATAAATCCTCTAGAACAAACACTAAAAACCATTTTTTTTTCACAAAGTCAAAGTTCACAAGAAACATCATCTAACTCTGGAAAATTTTGATGTCTATCCACAAATTTAACAGGATCGAAGTGAAAACTATCCATTTTTTCAACAAAATAAAAATAACACACAGATTAATTATACTAGATATCAAACACCTTTTTATACAGCTAATTACTCTCGATCAGATGATGAGGAATCTCATTATCAAAATCACCAACGAATTTAACAAAACCAGAGACCTCGTTCTTACAACATAGATCAACCAGCTATTCTTGAACCATCTTGAACCATATACACCAGAAGAACGAATACGACAACCTAGAACAAATCCAACATCTCAGAATAATAATTTTCAATCACAAAATCCAGTAAATACACAATCTTACCAACCAACTCGAAAGCATAATGAAATTCCACTACCATATTATTTAGAACAAGACGAAATAACAAAAAGCAAACCTACTAGTTTTTCAAAAATGTCAAATGCCGCAGACTCACTACAGATGACTATGAATCCATGCCTAATATGTGAGTCATCAAAATCATCAAATATGCCATTAATGGTTTTCACAGGCACAGATCCTGAATGCTCTGTAGAAGACTATCTAAACGCGGTCACAGCAAATCTAATTTTGAACATAGGACCTGAACCAATAAATACGCCACTTCATCAAAATTGGATACATAGACGCACAGCATTAATCCAAACTACACTTGATGGCGCTGCCCAAAAATGCTTTCCAGTTTTACTTATAGATAAAAAATTAAATTGGAAAAGGTTTACACAAGAATTTTCAAAAATGTTTGACTCTGAAAGACACAAACAACATCAAAGAGTTTTATGCAATGAAATTCTTAGACTAATAAATGAAACGATTAAACAAGTCGCAGTAAGAATGAAACATTAGTCCGAAAAGCATATTCACTCATACTCATGA